ATTTATTTATTAGTAGTCATGTTTGTTTACAGTAGTGCCTAGGAACCAACCAAGAATTGGGGCCCCATTGTGCTAGGTGCTGTACACAGAGCAGTAGACAGTCCCTCTCCTGAAGAGTTTACAATTTAAATAGACAAGACAAATATAAAGGAAAAGAGTAAAAATATAGAGGATATTCTAAAGGCAACTTCTCTTGAGATTTTTAATTTCTTCTGAGCTCTCTTCTGCCTTCTGCTGCTATTAAATTTCCCTGTTCAGCTGCTTGCACTCAGCTTTTTGCCTTTCCCTTGAGCAATCATGTGGCTGAAGCTCCTGTTAATAAGAGTATCATGGTTTACTGAAAAAACAACAACCACGAATGCTTTAACCTTGTAAAGAAAGTCTCTCTCACATTTCCTTTGTGAAGTTTATGCGTGAACCAAGAACCATTGAGGTGCTTGAATGTCAGAGCTGGAATTTTCATCTGTGTCTCTGTCACTAGGCAGAAGAAAAATAGGCTACTTTATTTAATTAGCAGGGAAAATTCTACACATACAATTGTGCCAGCTTAACTAAGGGGGTAGTTTAAATGTAACTTTGTGTCTGGACATTCTGAAATCTGTTTAAACCTGATCTATTGGTTTAGTGCGTCTCTAACCAATATAATCAGTTTTAAACCAATATGAGTGCCCTCATAGGGGGGTTGCACTGGTTTGATTAAATTAATTTTTAAACTAATTTAAGGTAAATTGCTGTCATTTGTGTATGTAGACCACCTCTTAGTAGCCTCTTGCAGTGAAGATGTCTTTTGGTTTTACAGCTGACAACCGTAGCCATGACTTAAGATCATTAAAGTTTAAATGCACATTGTGTTCACAACATGTAATGTTTTTGTTTCTTTGTGCTTGCACTTATGAAAGTGATTCAACAAGTATGAAAAAGATCACCCATTGTACTGGCAATATACTCCGTTTCTAAAAAAAACTCTGTCACAGCATTTATCCCAAGAGCTTACTACCTGTACGTTCATTTAATCAGAACTTGCCAGACCACACCACCAGCATATAAATAACTTCCAATAATATTACAATCACAGAACAGAATGTTTAATTGTGCCACAAAACTACCAGGGATGAGGCAAACTGATTAGTTTGCTTAATCAACTTCCTGCATATGTGGGTTCAAGGATAGATAACTTAATTCATTACGACTTCCTACCCATGTCTATGTTGCCACAGACCTTTCTCCCTTCCCAGAAACAGCACTTCTGAATAGCAACATCAATCCAGAAAGGTGATGTGTCAACAGATAAACATAACATATTTTACACTGTGATTCAGTCCCCAGAAATATTAGTGTTGTGTCCCAAGTTACAGGGAGCGCTTTAAAACAAAGCACTAAGAATTGGTACATAACTATGTCAATTGTACCTACGCTATCTGAGTGTTCACTCAGCTCCAGCTAAGCTCTTAAGATCCTGTCCCAGCAAACACTAGGTACACTGTAAAATTTGGAGTAAATTATCTCCTTTGAAACGAACTTGTTAAGAATTAAGAGGGGATGGCTCCAGATAATTACAGTAAGGTTATTTACAAGGTGTTGCTACCTGTGTCCGACAAGCATTTATTAATTACTTTTATTATCTTCTTCTAAACCTGTGATTAACTAGCTATGACTTTTATTGTTCTGCTATGATAAGACCAAAAAGAAATTCATCGTGGGATAAGCTAGCCTTGCTGAGTAACATTATAATCTTATTGGTGTTGCCTTTGTCTCTACTCCTCTACCCTTACAGTTACTGCTGTTTCATTACCCATCTCCTTGTGTCATTTCAGAACTAAATTGGGAAGTTTCTTGGGGCAGGGATTTTGTCTCTCATCTGTATTTGGAAGCTCCTAGCACTCTATCTGATGCAATTCAATTATTGCCATTTCATCTGGCCAGTGAGGAAAAAGTTGTTTTAAAAAAATACTCATTGGCAAAACTCCTCTCTGATTTTGCTTCCTATGAACTGAAAGACTGCAATCCAGAACATATTATATTTTCACTCAGCTAAAAGTTAAGGTTGCACATTACCCACAGTTCCCTCTCAAACGCTTAAGAGGTGCCTGCACTCTTCCAGGTGTATTTCATTTCTCAAAAATATGCTAAGGAAAATTTGAAGGGTAAACCTTACTAGCTCTCCATGAAGGAGTAAATGGGCATCAACGTGTGTCTATAATCTAGGCCAATTTCCTTTGTAGGCAATTATGTTAAAAAGTTTGTAAAGATGTTGTTCTATAATATTCCTGTGTTAGTGGGCAGGGTTACATGGTAAGCATTAATGCTGTTACCAGAACCATAACTCTACATTTCCAGCCTTTCTGTTGTTTTGAAATACACTCAAATGAGATTCCATTTAAGATTTTATATTTGTAACTTTAATGCTCTCTCAATGAAGATTTTGTTTGTTTGTTCTGGGAATGATACATATAGCTTGGAACAGAGCATGAGCTTTATGAATGTAATATGTTGATTTCCAAATAAGTACCCTAAAATTTCACACCACATACTATGTCTGATGACATGATTGCATTCCTCCAGAATCTCTACCTTCTCTTGTCCTGTCCCTTTAATTTTTTTAACCTTTTGGAAAGTCTCTCTCGGTAACATTGTGGGCTACATAAAAATAATTATGCTTCCAGTCCCTGCCCAAATACTGGGACTGGGCACCTTCAACTCCCGTTTGAAGCCAATGGTAACGGAAGATACTTAGCACTTCACCAAAGGTACTTGGCACCTTTCAGGATCACGCCTGGGAATGTTGTCTATGAATCTTGAATGTTTGTAATTCTATAGCACTGAGTATTCTTGTTGCTGTTTAGCACTGGGCATTGTTACCACAAAGCTATCTTTAATTGTGGGATAGCACTTTGATACCATGGTGATATGAAAACTTTCAATAATGTAGCAATATTATTTAATCTGAGGTTTGTACATAACACAAATGGTGATAATGAGTAGGAAGGGTGATCTAATTGTGAGGGCACTAGACTGGAACTCAAGACCTGGGTTCAATTCTTGGCTCAGCCACAGACACGTACCTTGTCCAAGTCGCTTAGTCTACCACGTTCTTCGTCTGTAAAAATGGAAACTGTATTTATCTCATAGGTGTTGTAAGAATAAAAATCCATTACTGACTGTGAGGAGCTTAGATACTGTGAAGATGAGGGCCATATAAGTAGGTGGGTAGATGCCATAGTACAAAAACCTCAGTGAAATTAACATGGGGACATTAGCGATTGCTGTTTCACCCTCTCAATAGCATAACTGAATCATTTTAATTAGCTGTGTTATCTGGGGCTATTACAATGTAAAGCACCATTAACAAAATGAAAAGCAGGCCTGAATCGCTTGCTTTCCTACAGTTCTACTAGGCAAATATTCCTCACTCCAAGAAATGTGCCATGATTACATTTGTAATTTTTAAGAATTGACTGAAGCAGTATTTTAAAGTGCAGTAACTTACCTTTGTAAAAGATATGTTTAGGGGTGAGGGAGTTGGCAGGGGTGGGAATAAATGTCAACTGAGGTTGGTTAAAACTGTTGGGTGCTTGATCCTATGGAAAATTAAGCCACTTATTTAGGTACCTAGATAGGGATATAACAGCCTAACTTTAGGCACCCCTTATATTTTTGAAAATCTTGGCCTTATATTTTGCTTTTAAGATCTTTACTGTAACATAACTGCATGGTGAATTCAACAGCCTCATTCCTAGAGAATTCTTAGCAGACCTTCTGCCATTTCTGTGAAGTAAGAGTTATTTTAGAATAATGTGGTGAAGGGGTTTGTGTGGGGAAGGTCAGGAATAGCTTGTTTGATGGGGTACTTTGGTAAAAGGGGTGTTGGAAGGATACTATCCCTAGGGAGGCAGAGTTAAGGGTGTGGTCTAAGTCATATCTGATAGTTGCCATAAAGTGTATATCTATGGGTGGAGTACAGAGTATATCCTGTTCAGTGGATTACCTGACAAAACTTCAATAAGTTAGGTAGTATGTAGCATCCTTTAAAAAGAAACTTGTCAGAATTCCAGCAATGTTTAGATTCATGGACCATGGTAGGTCTCCCATTGGCTTTTTTTTCTGAAAAGTGGCTGGATATGCTACATATTGTTCATTACATGTTCTGTATTTAAAAGAAATTTATGTAAGTAGAACAAGTTGAGATTTGAAATACAGGTTGACAAAAAATTCTACAGAGAATCTATATACCATTTAATACTCCCTTCTACGCTCTAATTGTAGAGAGTAGAAGGGAGTATTTTTTAAAAGGCTGACTAGATAGATTTCTAGAAATTTGGAATCTGCCATCTATAATAAAATGTGCAATCCTTAAAATAAATGTATTTTAGTAGGTGTTGAAAGTGCTACTTAAGGGTCTTGTAAATTGTTAGGAGAGATTTACAAAGAACAGTTAGTTGCCCAACTCCAACTGACTGTCAAAGGGAACTGGACACCTTTTCCCCCTTTGTGCCTTTGAAAATGTCCCTCTTAAACATTAGTGTATGCCCTGTAGAATGTGCCTCTGAACTTTATTAACAACCATTTTGTGGGTTTTCAATCAATAAATGCATTACCTTAAAAATCGATCATTAAACAGTAATACTAGATAAAACAATTTTTGTTATCTGTTCTGTTTTACACATTACCCACATTTTGTTAGTACTTCAGTTATCAAGCATAAAGAAAAGAAAATGGGCTGTAAAAGAGTGTATCAATTATATGACGTGCCTTAGTGTAACCTCTGTTTTCCAACATCACTACATATTTCTTTTGGACTAGTGGACAAAAATTGAACAATATATTTTAAAATAAAAGTTGGAATGAACTAAAAATGCATGGCGATCTTTGATGTATACTCTATGTTGTGTGAGGGGAAAAAATCAGTCTACAAAAGGATGCGCTAAACTGTAAACATTCTGTCCTCATAATTCAGCATTACAGTCCTATTTGTGGTCATTTCCTTTGCTTTCTTTCTCCAGATTTTCCATGAAGCCTAGCTAAACATGCAACCAGCAATACATTGATAAGGCCTGTGCAGCTGTGGAGATATTCTTCTACGTGGTGAAAATGACTCTAATTTTTTGACAACGATTAAAGGACAATGGGGTCAAATACACTTGGGAAGGCTGCAACATTAGATGAACTTTTAAACACTTGCATTGAAATGTTTGGTATGATTCTTCAGTCTTTTGTTTCATTGCTTGCTGTTCTTGAAATTCAACTACTATTATAAGCTCACCCAGGCTATTTATCTCTTTCAGTTGATCATTCGTTTGGCAAACAAATTCCTTTTGCTGTGAAATTTTCCATGCTTGGTTCTTAGCCCAGAGGAAAACTTTTGTATTGAAAAATTTGAAGTAAATTCTTTCATCTGTCTGAATGAGGGGGCAGGAGAGCCTCTCTCCTGTCCTGATGGGTTCAAACGCTGTGTATTTTTAGTAATACACATTACATAATACAAAAAAATCTATTTAACACAAGAACAATTGATAGAATGATTTAAACATGTGGGTCTGTATTAAGATTAGATAACTATACAGACGGATTATTTTATGAATTTGCCTCTGATTTTTTATAAAAGAAATAGGAATATATTTCTTGATGCACTGATTTTTTTTGTGTGCTTTGCTGTGTTATTTACACTGGATCTTTTTCAATCTAGTGCTACTTCTGGAAGCTTTTCCCATGCATTGTGTAGTAATACGATTGCAGGTTCTCATTTTAATCAACCATTACCTATAGAACTTTCTATCATTTATGTGAGCCTGTTGCTAATCATATAATTTACATACTTGGATGGCCCTTATGGATTGTCATACATAGAAATGAATACTAATCCTTTGAAAAAACAAAACAATGACCCCAAGTCTCCAGTTAGAAGCAATTATATTAACTCACAAATTGCTAGTTATATTAAGAAAACAAATAATCATATTAAGACCTTTCATTTTATGGAACATGAACATACACCACCTCTTTCCACTTTAAAAGGTACTAGGCCTTGATTCATAAGTACTTTGATGAATCAAGGCCTTAATCAAAATGAGGCATTCTGAATTGCTTTTATTTAAAGACCATGTGACCACTTGGTTTGAATGAGGTTATAATTTGATTTCATTTTTGAGGGGAGAGAGAGAGATCTTCTCACTGTCAGAGATGAAATCACTAAAGGCCAGTTACTGAAACTGAATCTAAGCAGACACACCACTGCATCCATGCACATCCAGTTGCCAATTCTGGCCCTAAAATGGTGCAAATCCCATATAGGGCTTATTTAACCACAGATAGCAGAGGCCATTTACATTTTACATACTGGAATTATCATTCCTCCTTCCCTTTCCCCCAAATACATACATACACTTCTCTTTTGAATACTGAAGTCCATAATGTGTGTGTGTGGTTCCCTTTCCTCTTTGTCCCCTTTGATTTACTCTGGTTCTTCATTAAATATTCTCTATAACTGGAAAAACATTCTCCACTCCCCAGCTAGCCACTCCCAATACATACACATTTGAGTGTGACATTTGGTTGTCATGGTCAGTTTTTATCAATGAATGACGAGATTGAATTTTCTGATGATCACTTAAAATTAGGTACATCCAACTAAACTTGTAATTATAGTGTTTTACTAATCTAGAATTCTGGGGTTTGGGTGCATTTTAGGTAATGGGTTATTATAATCAGTTGTTATCAATTTTCTCTTGTTCAAACTTTTTTTTAAAATCCCACTTGGAGTTTGAAGAAGGCACTCGTGTTGAAACAGCAACATTGCTATTGTGACACTTTTAAAGTAATATTTAATAAAAGTTTTGGGGAAGGAGGAGATTATATACATTTCCTTTCATTCTACACTGATATGATTTGATAATTGATGTGCTACAGCTGACTCTAATTTGCTGACTCTCACTGCTAGAGGAACATTTTATTTGTTATGTTTCTGTTCTGAAGATATTTTAATTGACAGTGCACTGGATATATTTTCATTTTGAATATTAATAGATCTGACTTCCCTGAAGAGAGGTAATAGATCATGGATATCTGGAAACTGGCTGATCTCTGCCCAATAATGCATGTCACTTAACTTAAAATGGTGTCTCTATTTTACAGATAATAAAGGACATTTGGGCACCAGTCATTTGCCAAGAATGGTTCTTTTAATGCACCGGTGGTATCTGCCTTCCACAGAACTGGCCGGCAAACTTCTCTCCATATATCCTTTCAAAGATCCATATAGCCTAGCATTAGCACTTTGGAAGACAAACTGTGATAATATGTAAAATCCATGCATTAAGCAGTAGTATTGGAGTGCCGTCAGCATATAAGGCTCTTCAGCAATTTATGGGCCGGGTCCAATGCCCACTGAAATCCTTTCAACTGATTACAATAGACTTTGGATCAGGTCTTTTATGAACCTGCTGAAGTGTGCTTTGAATTAGCATTTGAGGACACAAAGATACAAATGGAAGTTTGGCACTTAATTCCCGTTGACTTTCTATGGGAGTTGCTTGCCTGGCACCTGTGCCTTTTGAAAATCTCCTCTGTTCAGTATCTACAGATATCCTTGATTAGCCTGTATTGGTGGGAAATTATTTGTCCAGCAGAATATTCAGAAATAGTGTGTATTGGATGCATGTTTTTGCTAAGACAAATGGCAAATTGCTGAATTGGAAATGGTGTCTATATTTTTCAGTGTGTTATCTCATCTCAAGGTATAGCACATTTTAATTTGGAGGAATAACATACAAAGAATACTCTATCCTGTACAAAAGTGAAAACTCTCTAAACGAACAAGACCACTGCAGAGTAAAAAAAAAAAGTTGCTGAAACCATGATCATGAAGTTTATTCTTTAACTAATCTACCTATAGAGATGCCAGTGGGGAAAAATCCAGTGAATTCCGCTTAAAAATCTGCTGTTTCATAAGGTAAAAATGCTGATTTTTTTTCACTGGGATTTGGTTTTTATAGCTCTGAATAGTCAATTTTTACAAATAATAAAAAATCCTAAACCAAGTCAGTCCACCTCTACTAATGCTTTCTCTCGGACTACTTTACAGACGTAGGGCTGGGGGGAAATCCTATTCAGAACAGTTATTCAACTAGGGTTATTCAGGTTTTTGAACACTTACAGTGTATCAAGCTGAAGAGCTTACTGAAAACTCATGCTACAGTTTGACTGGTATTTGTTCTTTGAGGTTTAACACTCAGACTAGATTGGCACAGCACGCAAAACCGGGGGGAGGAGTACATCATAGTACAATCTAGAATGGTATAAAAAGATTGTCCCTGGATTGTTCGCTTCAGTTCATGTGAACCCTAGATAATTCAAACCAAGGGTATATCTTTGCAAAATGTGCGTTAATACAAGTAAAAATAGCAATGAAGACAAGGCAATTTGACTTTTAACTTGGGTTAGCTGCTCAAGTTCAACACCCAGCTTCCTTTTAGGCTTTAACTTCAGCTACTAACCTGAGTTAAAAGTCAAGTTGCCTTGTCTTCACTGCTATTTTAATGTGAATTAGCTAACCCATGTTAACCTACTTATTTGCAATGAAACATACCCTAAGATAGGATGCTTTAGCAACTTCAGTGCTGCCACAGGTACCTGGTATATAGGATCAGGAGACGCTGTATAGCAGGCGCTGCCTTGTCAAAACAGTAAAATTTTCTGACATATACCTGAGTATTGATCTACTAAGGCCACCTCTGCACAGGACTGTTTGGTTTTTTGGGTGTTTTTTTCCTTTTTTCAGTACAAGGTAAGGTGTGAATTTAAACAGATAGTGCTATGCTGGTTAACACCACCCTCCCGTAGCCATCCCAATGTGAACGCTTGTGCTCCAGTATGAGGAGCTTTTTTTGGTGTAGCTTATGTTGCTTGGGAAGGGGTTAAGCTAAAGCAAAATAAAGCCAGTTGTACTGGAACAAAAGTGTCCTCGTGGAGTATTATACTGGCATAACTATATCTGTCTACATTCACACTTTGGGAAAGCTTTTTCAGTATCAACCATATAGGCAAGGCCTTTCACCTAAATGTGGAGTATATTTTGAAAGGTGCAAATGTCACTTAGGTGCCTAACTCCCATTTAAATGCACCTCAGAAGAATCCCACCGTGTTTCACTGAAGGGAATGTGCTAACTTGGGGAAAGTATGTAATAAGAGGCTTTTCCATATGTATCATTGTCCTCTGTTGGATGAAGCATGTCAGAATTCGTCAAGCATATTGGTTCAGTTTCTGGAAGAGCTAGTGGTGGGAATGCTGTTTACCACATATGTGACTTTGGATCTCCAATGATTTCTTCTGAGTGCCATGTGTATGGTGGCTGAGTAATCATGGCTTGCATCTATGCAGCCACAGAATGTTATGTCTGGATCTTTGGATAACCTTTCTCCCATGATTTCAGGTACTGGATTTTGGAATTTCCAGCAGAATTTAACTTGGATCTTGGTTTGATTCGTCTGACTGAGGAGTTCCGGGAAGTAGCCAGCCAGCTTGGTTATGAGGAACATGTACACCTTATTGACATCTCCAGCATGTAAGAATATCATTTGTCAGGTTCCACAGGCACCTTTCTTTCCATATTTTGTAACACCAGAGCCCTTGCTTGGTACAGAATGCACTATGTGATATTGAGCATCCCATTTCGGTTTAAAGGGATGATATAGTGAGCACTAGGAAGTAATTATCAAAAAGATGATGTTCTCTCCAAAACTGAAATAAAGTTCTAAAACACCAAATACCATTTGGGATAATATAGACTGGCAAGTATCACATATATTGAATTGTAGTGAAGAAGAATTGCTGTATTTTTATATATACACTGTTCCTGATTCTATATGTTGCAAAGCCAGATAAGTAAAGAATACTATGCTGTTGATGGTGGTTATTGCTTAGTATTGCGAAAATGATGTCTTCATACCAAATAAGCTGACATTGCACTGAGCGTGCAACACCAGCATAGTTAAGGATGGCAACATTATTATATACTTTGCAATTCCCTCATGTTATCAGGGAGGCTCAAGACTTTTCTTACTGCCCCCAAATATAAACAAAACCACCCCAATGCTGAATTTGATTTTCACAGTTGCATCACAATTTTTTGTGTATTTCAAAGGCAGTTGGTCCATGGTATTTTGTTTTAACTGCATCATCTGTGGAGTTTTCATTGCCAGCCATTCTTATGTCCAAATTGTTAATTTCAGGTGGATAGGAAATCAAACCAGGACTTTATACCTCCAAGGTCTTAACATTAGCAGAGAAGCTGTATTAGCTCTTTCACTAGCTCATCTGTTAATAGGGGTTTTCTTTAAACTATGGCATATGCTCAGTAGTGTTTCCTTTTGTAAAGAATGGCAAAATGAACTGGGAGGAACCTCGTATTGATCTTCAACAAATTTTGCCTCTTTCCCCCTTCCCCTCCTCTCTCTCTTCATTAATTGTGTGGGAGCAGACTGTCTTTTTTTCTCAATTTTCTCTGAAAATTGCTTTCAAATATTTTTTGGTCTGCAATTTCTTTATGATCAGTTTGTTTCATATTTGAAATTTTGACCCATTTTCAACGGACTCTGGAGGCAGATAAGCTTCTGTTCTCTGGATGACCCTCTAATTCTTAGGGTAGATCTACTCTATAGTTGCTAGAGAAGCACAGTTTCGGCACTGCAGGTGTACCGCTGTAGCAGCATAATGGAGGTGCTTCCTACATCGACAGAAGGGGTTTTTCCAATGTTGTAGTTAATCCATCTCCACAATAGGAATCGTTCCGTCAATCTAGCCGCATCTACACTGGAGCTAGGATAATGTAGCTAGGTTAATCTAGTTTTATTGTAGACCAGTCCTTAGAATATAGTCTTAGCCTGCTTGGAATTGGGAGTAAATAATCCATGTGATGTGTGTGGCTTCCAATTTATCTCGTTGAGAATTAGATGGCTATATCTCCACATGTTTTTAAAATACTTAAATAAAGATGGGTCTGAATAAAAACCCTGATTCCAAACATTGATGAATGTCAGAAAATTTCAGCTCCAGATAGTGTCTGGCTTGGGCTCATTTCTATAAATACTTTAGCCAAAGGACTAAATTTTTAAACCTAAACTGGGATTTAGTACAGCTAGTCAAAAATTGTCCAGCAGAACATTTTTCCACCAGAAAATTGAATTGAAATTGAAACATTCAAATTGAAACATTCCATGAGAACGTGTTGATCTTGTGATGAAATTTCATTTTGATATTTTCAAGTGAAACTTTTTTATAAGGTCATAAAATAATAATGTGATATAAACATACTGCATTCAGGATAACAGAACATTTTGACCTTATTAGAAAGAAAGATTTCAATTTTTCAAGGCACATTTTTTTCTTTGAATATAACTTGTTTATTATAAAAACATTTTTAAATGTTCTGAACTGATGTGAAACAAAACTTGAAAATTTCCTTTTGCAAGAAATTTTCAAATTTGAAATTTCATTCTAATTTGGAACAAAAACAAAGTCAAAATCTTGCATTTCCCACAAAATGGAAATTCCAGTTCCTCACCAGTTCTTAGGATTTAGCTACCTAACTCCCATGGACATCCAAAAGTTAGGAGGCTTAGTCCTAGTGCTTTTGTTTTTCCTAAATGTCTACATCATATTAGAATAAAATAATAGCATTTCAATGGTGCATCTCTACAGCAGCCAAATACAAAGGATGGGCCTCTGGAGGAACAACAAAACACACACATGCAAGCAAAAGTTCAGTAAAGTGTTGAGTATATGTGAAGCTCAGTTGTATGTCAGCAGAGCAAAGTACTTTCCTAGCTGTCATATGTAGTTTACAGATGTCCTTTCTTCTTTTGTTCCATTTTTCCTTGTAGTCTTCCAGATATCAACAAAACAAAAACACCCCACAAGTCTGACGTTACCCAAGTCAATTTTTGGTCTGAATTTGATCTTTGAAATGTAGCCGTTAGGTCCTATTGAATTAGGTGATACAGTGTAACACAGAAGAAAGAATTGTTCTTGAGTGCCAGATATATAGCTCTCCTGCTGTACATCAGTTCAGACAGTACCTATTAAATTCATATCATCTGTTGCAAACTGGAAGAGATCTTTCTATTCTGAGTGTTCACAATATGCTGGATGTCATAGTTCAGGGAACTCTTGAGCTGCCTCTTGCATATCTGTATGCCCAGATTAGAGTTCACATGAGTTTTCTGCATGGACAGGATATGCTGATTATACCTCTTTTTTGTTGCAGCCCCTCCTATGACTGGATGAGAAGAGTCACACAGAGAAAAAAAACTTCCAAGAAGGGAAAAGCCTGCCTGCTGTTTGACCACCTGGAACCCGTTGAATTAGCTGAACACCTCACTTTTCTGGAGCATAAATCTTTTAGAAGGATTGCAGTAAGAAGCTTACAACTTCTTGTTTCATTCGGTTATAATCTGACCAGAGCTATATGCTTCAACTGAGAGAGTTTGCCAGCTTTAACATTTATAACACTTTTATGTTGTACCCAATTGAATTGTAGCAAATATTTATAAGACTTGGGAGGATGAATCAAGTGGGGTCCCGTAGGGTTCTGTCCTGGGTCCAGTACTGTTCAATATTTTCATTAATAACATGGATAATGGAGTGATAAATATGTTTATAAAGTATGCAGATGACGCTAAACTGGGAGGGACTGAAAACACTTTGGACAGGATTAGAATTCAAAATGACCTTGATTGGGCAACTGGTCTGAAATCAGTATGATGAAATTCAATAAAGACAAGTGCCAAGTACTGCAATTATGAAGTACACAAATACAAAATGGGAAATAACTGGCTAGGCATCAGTATTGCAGAAAAGGATCTGGGGGTTAAAGTGGATCACAAATGAAATCTGAATCAGCCATATCATGTTGTTGCAAAGAAGGCAAATGTCCATTCTGGGATGTATTAACAGGAGTGTCGTATGTAAAACACAGGAGGTAATCATTCCACTCTATTTGGCAATGGTGTAAGGCCTCAGCTGGAGTACTGAATCTGGTTTGGGACACCACACTTTCAGAAAGATGTGAACAAATTGGAGAGGGTCCAGTGGAGTGCAACAAAAGTAAGAAGTTTAGAAAACATGCCCTTAAGGACAGGTTGAAAGTATTGGCCATTGTGATCATCTAGTCTGACCTCCTATATAACACAGGCCGTAGAACTTCCCCAAAATCATTCCTAGAGCATCGCTTTTAGAGAAACATCCAATCTGGATTTAAAAATTGTGTGTGATGGAGAATCTACCACAATCCTTGGGGAGAGTAATTAACCATTGAACTATTTACTATTACAAATGTATGCCTTATTTCCAGTCTGAATTTTTCTGGCTTCAACTTCCAGCCATTGGATCATGTTGTTATCCTTTCTCTGTTAGATTGACAAGCCCATTATTAAATATTTGTTCTCCATATAGATGGAGAACAAACCTTCTTTGTTAAACTAAATATATTGAGCATCTCAAGTCTATCTCTGCAAGGCATGTTCTATAATCCTTTAATCATTCTCATGGCATTTCTCTGAACCCTCTCCATTTTATCAACATACTTCTTGAATTATGGGCACCAGAACTGGATACAGTATTCCAGCAGTGGTAGTACCATGCCAAATACACCCGTAAAAATAACCTCTCTAATTCTACTTAAGATTCTACTCTTTATGCATCCCAGGATCACATTAGCTCTTTTGGCCACAGAGTCACACTGGGAGCTCATGTTCATCTGATTTATCTACCATGGGGTTGCCAACTTTGGTTGGATGAATTCCTGGAGATTTCATCACATGACATAATCTTTAATTAAAGATTGATCTTTAATTCCTGGAGACCCCAGGATAATCCTGGAGGGTTGGCAATCCCAATCCACCATGACCCCCAAATCTTTTTCAGAGTCACTGCTTCCCAGGATAGAGTTCCGCATCCTGTAAGTATGGCCTACATTCTTTGTTCCTAGACATATACGTTTACATTTAGTCATATTAAAAAGCATGTTGTTTGCTTGCATCCAGTTTGCCAAGTGATCCAGATTGCTCTGAATCAGTTACCTTAATTATTTACCACTCCTCCACTGTTCAGATAAGAGAAGGCTGCCGGGGGAACATAAATTCTTCAAATATGTAAAATGTTGTGATACAGAGGACGGTGATTACTTCTTGTTCTACCCTCAGTAGACATGGAGAACAAGCAATCAGCCTAGTTTGCAGCAAGGGAGGTTGTGGAATTGCCATGCAAGAAGGTTTTTAAGAACAGGTTAGACTAACACCTGTCAGGGACGGTCTAGGAGTACTTAATTCTGCCTTACTGTAGGAGGCGGGACTATATGATTTCTTGAAGTTCTTTCTGGTCCTACACTTGCGAGATTCTAGTATCACATCCCATCATTCATAATACTGTAGCAAAGGTTGGATCAATACACCTTTACCCCGATATAACGTGGCCCGATATAACACGAATTCGGATATAACACGGTAAAGCAGTGCTCCGGGGGGGCGGGGCTGCGCATTCCGGCGGATCAAAGCAAGTTTGATATAACGCGGTTTCACCTATAACACAGTAAGATTTTTTGGCTCCCAAGGACAGCGTTATATCGGGGTAGAGGTATACTTCCGTTATATTTTCATGAGTTATAACTTTTACCATAAAAAAATAATCCTCTGCAGTAATTCTGAGTGAGGGCTACAACCATGTGCAAGGATTTGTTTTGACCAAACTAAACGTTACAAATCAGTGCTTTTTGTTTCTTGGGGAAATAGTTAATTAGTGATCAGCAACCCTCAAAGACTTCGTTTCAGATGGAGCCTGGAGCTCATCTGACGCCCCACTCCCAATCACATCGTAAGAACATAAGAATGGCCATACTCGGTCAGACCAAAGGTCCATCTAGCCCAGTATCCTGACTTCCAACAGTGGTCAGTGCCAGGTGCCCCAGAGGGAATGAACAGAACAGGTAATCATCAAGTGATCCATCCCCTTTCGCTCATTCCCAGCTTCTGGCAAACAGAGGCTAGGGACACCATTCCTGCCCATCCTGGCTAATAGCCATTGATGGACCTATCCTCCATGAATTTATCTAGTTCTTTTTTTAACCCTGTTATGGCCTTGGCCTTCACAACCTCCTCTGGCAAGGAGTTCCACAGGTTGACTGTGCATTGTGTGAAGAAATACTTCCTTTTATTTGTTTTACACTGCTGCCTATTAATTTCATTTGGTGATCCCTAGTTCTTGTGTTATGAGAAATAGTAAAAACACTTCCTTATCACCTTCTGAAACACTATTCTTTCATTCTCCTGACTTCATTTCCTTCTTCCTGATTCCCAGGAGATCCTCCTATCCTCTCAACTCCATTTTCTTTGCATTGTCAATAGGCTTCTGCCTTAGCTATTGCATTATGGGAATAATTCCAGTCTGATGCTCATCCTACCACATAGTTACTAGCTGATTTCAACTTTGCCTGCTCCAGTGCTTCCCCCAGAATTTGTGGTTCTCCCTACTCTCCCACCTCTGAATTCAGAGAAACCTCAGAATTTATATATGCTGAAAGGAGTCGCTTCTCTCCATTACCACCAAAGTTCTTAATTGCTGAGAAGAGGAGAAAGAGTCAATACTCCCTATTTTGGGGACAACTGTTTATTATCTTGATATAAACAAGATAAAAGGTATTCAGATATTATGGTGATTAGTGATCATCCACTGGGTGACTTGATTTCTGCTCCATGATGCATAAGAGGTGAAGAAAGGGGCCATTGTTAAGACTTCTTAGTTCTTAAAACCTATTGCAATTTTCCTTCTCTTTTAATTCTTGGTTTATGGACTGCAATGTTTATGGATGACTTTCCAGCATTGTACTCTTAAAGGAAAACTGTTGGGGTTGGTAGGCCCTAAATTTGATCCCTACATTTGCTCTAATCCCTCCACCACACAAAACAAAATCTTGGCTCTCAAATGCTTAAACTAGTAACGTAAGCATAAGTGTGTTACGTTGGGAGAGCAGCTCTTGTATTTGTCTCTATCTGCTCATCCTGCAGATCTTGCTAATATGTAGTATTTTACTAAATTGCAAAAACTGATTAAACCCTACAGCAAGATGATATTGTTCCCAAGGAGCTAGGCAAGATGGCACTGAAGAGGTCTTGTGCTGAAAGATAGTAATGCCTGCTACAAAGCCAGATGTAAAAGATCTCCTTGGAGTTGACGGTTGGAAGAGAATGACCTCAGTAGAAGTGGGAACTGAGGAAAATTCAGACCTAATCACCTTTCTTGATCAGAGTCATACATCTGGAACAAAAGGAGGAGATTCTTCAGACAAAATTGGATGACAATTGAAACAGTGACCAGAGGAACAATATTAGAATTAAAGGTGTTCAAGAACCTCAGAAAGGGTAACCCAGTTTTGTATGTACCAACACTAACTAAAAATCTGTTAAACCTGAATTCAACTAGTGAAGTGTCCATAGACAAAGCTAGCATGACTTTAGCTCTTCTAGTAGTAAACAGAAACTATCCCAGAGAGTATGGTTTCCAGATTCCATTATTTTCAGCAGAAAGATGCTGTTATGAGGAAGATCAGGGAACTGAAAGGAATCTTTGTCCAAAATCTTTGTTCCTTGATTCTTCAAGAGAGTGAAACAAAATGAGGAAAAGAAACAGATGTAATTGGGGTTTTTCTTTTAAATCGTTACATTAATTCAAAGTAAACTTTACACTATTCTGCATGCGAAAGAATGGGGAGGAATTTGAGCTGGAGAATAAATGACGATGAACTGTATAATGCAGGGCCGAGTGAAGACATGGAGGAAAAGGAAAGGCTTTCTGGTAGGTTGCAATGCCAAAGAACAGGGGGATGGCTTTTTCAATTTTTTTATATATATATATGTATATGAAAGCTTTGTGGGACTCCCAGAAGAGGGATCTTCAGACCTGCAGGAGTGGTGGCTATGTTGGTGGTTGATGTTTGAAATCAGACAGTTACACTAATAGCTAGTGCCTCTGTTTGAATTTACTAGCTCTGATACTTCTCCATGACTAGTTAGGCTTTTTAGGAATCAGGACTGAAGTCAATTAAACTTACATTTTCTTTCTGGCGTGATACAGAAGTTAAAGAGGGTGTCAACTGCGAGGTGTTAATTTTTAAATAAAGGTTAGATTGGTTACTAGTAAGTAATAAGGGTGGTAGCACACTGACAATTAAAAGGGACTATGGGGTGGGTGGAAGGGCAGCCTTGTGAAGATGGAGATTGATAGATAAACTTAAAGTCCATTGGGCTCTGCACAAGGCCTCCTATCTGACTCTCAGAGGAGCGGTCAGAGAGTTGTCACAGAGAAGCAGATAGCTGTTACGTGGGGGGCAACATATATAACTCCATTGAATTTGTTGTAATTCTCAATCTGTCTAGGAAAGTCAAACTACTTCTTTATTTTGGAGGTACATAGCGAAATAAAGGCATAAAAATAAAGATAAGGGAGGGAAAAGGAGACTGAAGATTGTTTAAACAAAGAGAAGATTTGAAAGCTTCTGAGCAGCATCTGAGAGATATTGGGTACCATCACCACTAAGGTGTCTGTGTAGTAAGAGGCCATCTGATGGTCTAAGCAATTATTTATCACTAGACTGACAAAAAGGCATTCTGGCCTGGTATCCTTAGGGATTTTCTACTTAAATTACAGCAAGGCCATAATCTGCTGGAGACCCGTTTTTATGGGACAATTGAAAAAAAAAACTTCCTAAAGTTCAGATAAGTAAAACACTTAGTAATAGTAGCTCTCCTGTAAAGTAGTATCTATGAACATTAAAGGATTGACTATCATCAAAAGAGAGCAAGTCCTGGAAGAACTCAAACTCCCTTGCAGACTAAGGATATGTCTACATGTGGATTCCCAGCTCGAGGAGACATACCCACACTAGCTCGGTTCAATCTTGGGCACTAAAAACAGAAGGTAACCGCAGCAACGCTAGCGGCACTGCGGGGGAGAAGTGAGGCAGCTAGCTGTTCTGAGTACATGCTTGTCAGAGACCCTAGGCACATACTCGGGGCGGCTAGTCCATCCCACCACTTGCACTGCCACAGCTACACTGTATTTTTAGTGTGCTAGTGCAATCAGAGCTAGCACAAGTGTGTCTCCTTGAGCTGTGAAACACTGCCCAAGCACCAAGTGTAGACATACCCTATACTGTACAGAAAGTTCTTATTGGAATAAATGTGATAAAAATAAAAAAATTGGGAAAGATATAGGTGCTGTGTCTAACTTCTTTGAGTGAAATTCTTGCTCCCTTGAAGTCAATGGCAAAACTCCCATTGATAGCAATGGAACTGGGATTTCACTCTTTATGTCAACAATTCCATCTGTCAGCATGCTAGAGAGGAATTCACTCTAGGGAAAGGAAATTGTTGTATTCATGCCCTCATAACTTGTAGCATGATAAGAGAACATTTCTTTAATATATATTTTGATGGCAGAATGTTATCTCATCAGCAAAAAGTGAAAAGAAAAATATAATGAACGGAAGGGGATTAATTGTGGGGAAAGACAAAGACTCGTAGACTTTAAGGTCAGAAGGAACCATCATAATACTCTAGTCTGATGTCCTCCACAGTGCAGGCCACAGAACCTCACCCACCTAGTCCTGTAATAGACCCCTAATCTCTGGCTGAGTTACTGAAGTCCTCAAATCATGGTTTAAAGACTTAAAGTTACATAGAATCCACCATTTACACTAGTTTAAACCTGCAAGTGACCCAAGACCTATGCTGCAGAGCAAGGTGAAAAACCCCCAGAGTCTCTGCCAATCTGACCTAAGGGGAAATTGCTTCCCGACCCCCAAAATGGTGATCAATTAGGCCCTCAGCATGTGGGTAAGACCCCCAGCCAGACACCTGGGAAAGAATTCTCTGTAGTAATGTAGAGCCCACCCATCTAATGTACCACTGTAGGCAGTTCCATCATACTATCCCCTCCATAAACTCATCAAGCTCAGTCTTGAAGCCAGTTAGGTTTTTTTCCCTCACTGCTCCCCTTGGCAGGCTGTTCCAGAACTTCACTCCTCTGATGGTTAGAATCCTTTGCCTAATTTCAAGCCTAAACTTATTGATGGACAGTTTATATCCATTTGTTCTTGTGTCCACATTGGCACTTAACTTAAATAACTGCTCTCCCTCCCTGGTATTTATCCATGTAGTTATAGAGAGCAATCATATCTCCCCTCAGCCTTCGTTTGGTTAGGCTAAGCAAGCCAAGTTCTTTAAGGTAGGTTTTCCATTTCTTGGATCATCCTAACAACCCTTCTCTGCCCCAGTTGCAGTTGGAATTCATCTTTCTTAATCATGGGAGACCAGAATTGCACACAGTATTCCAGATGAGGTCTCACCAGTGCTCTGTATAATGGTACTAACACTTCCCTGTCTCTACTGGAAATACCTCGCCTGGTGCATCCTTGGACTACATTAGCCTTTTTCATGGCCACATCCCATTGGCAGCTCATAGTGATCCTGTGATCAACCAATACACCCAGGTCTGTCTCCTCCTCTGTCACTTCCAACTGATACATCCCCAGCTTATAGCAAAAATTCTTGTTAGTTTCTAAATCCATGAACTTGCAGTTTGCACTATTAAATTTCATCTATTATTCCAGTTTACAAGGTCATCCAAATCTTGTATACTTGTCCTCCTCCGTAGTGGCAATACCGCCCAGATTTGTGTCATCTGCAAATTTTATTAGCACCCTCCCATTTTTGTGCCAAGGTCGTTAATAAAAATGTTTTTAAAAAGTAACATTAATAAAAATGTTAAATACAATTGGTCCCAAGACTGATCCCCGAGGAACTCCACTAGTAACCTCCCTCCAGCCGGACAGTTCACCTTTCAGTAGGACCTGTGGTACTCTCCCCTTTAACCACTTCTTCATCCACCTTTCACTTCTCATATTAATACTCATCTTCTCCAATTTAACTGATACAGTTCCACATGGGAAATTATTAAATGCCTTACTGACATCCAGGTAGATTAGATCTATTGCATTTCCTCTGTCTAAAAAATCAGTTATCTTCTCAAAGCTGGAGCTCAGGTTGGTCTGGCACGATCTATCTTTTGTAAAACCATGTTGTATTTTATCCCAATTACCGTTCACCTCTATGTCCTTAACTACTTCCTCTTTCAAAATTTGTTCCAAGACCTGGCATACAATTGAGGTCAAACTAACAGGCCTGTAATTTCCTGGATCACCTTTTTTCTCTTTCTTAAAAATAGGAACTATATTAGCAATTCTCCAGTCAGAGGGTATGACCCCCAAATTTACAGATTCATTAAAAATCTTTGCTATTGGGCTTGCAATTTCATGTACCATTTCCTTTAATATTCTTGAATGGAGATTATCTGGGCCCCCACAATTTAGTCCCATTATGCTTTTTGCGTTTGAATTCCAACATGACTCTGATAATTTCAACCTCCATAGCCTCATTCCTATTAGCCACCCTGCCACTACCCCTAAACTCTTCATTAACCTTATTAAAAACTGAGGCAAAATATTTGTTTAGGTTAGTGGTTCTCAACCAGGTATGCAGAGGTCTTCCAGGGGGTACATCAACTCATCTAGATATTTTAGATATGCTTAGTTTTACAACAAGCTACATAAAAAGCACTAGCGCAATCAGTACAAACTAAAATTTCATACCAACAATGACTTCTTTATACTGCTCTATATACCATAATCTGAACTGTAAGTACAATATTTATATTCCAATTGATTTATTTTATATTATATGGTAAAAATGAGAAAGTAAGAAATTTTTCAGAAATAGTGTGCTGTGACATTTGTATTTTTATGTCTGATTTTGCAAACAAGTAATTTTTAAGTGAGGTGAAACTTGGGGGTACTCAAGACAAATCAGACTCCTGAAAAGGGTACAGTAGTCTGGAAAGGTTGAGACCCACTGGGTTAGGTGTTGGACCATGCATAGATTATCTTTAATATCCACCCTATCCTCAGTGTTTAGCCATCCCACAGCTTCTTTTCTTGTTTTCTTTTTATTTATATGGCTATAGAACCTTTGACTACAGGTTTTAATTTTAATTCCCTTTGCAAGGTCCAACTCTGCTTGGCTTTTGGCAGTTCTCTTTTATCCCTACACTTTCTGACCTCCACAAGGTAGCTTTCCTTGCTGATCCATTCCTTGTAGTCTTGATTTCCTGAAGGTGATACATTCATATTCACAATGTCTGTTGCTGTATTTCTGATTGTATATAAAGAGAGAGGAGAGTAATGTTTTATAAGTTCCTCATAAAAAATAATTTAACATATTTTAAAGAAATAAGATGAAATTGGTAGTCTCTTTCTAACCAGTGGGACTTCTTAAAAGAAAAGTGGCTTAAATATCATTTTGTCTCTATACAATCCTTAACTGTAAATCTTTCCTTGGCTAGTTTACAGATTACCAAAGCTATGTGATTCATGGCTGCTTGGAGAACAACCCCACCCTGGAGAGATCAATTGCATTATTTAACGGTATCTCTAAGTGGGTCCAGCTGATGGTTCTTAGCAAGCCAACGCCCCAGCAAAGGGCAGATGTAATCACAAAGTTTATCAATGTTGCACAGGTAAGACTAACCTTTGAGTGTTTTTGTTTGCTAGAATGAAATAATAGAAACTGATGCTACAGAAAACTGATTAACTAGACATGCAGGCAAGCTGCTTTCTTTCTGAATGCTTATTCAGCCATAACTGATGCTCATTCATTGAGCTATTTGTAGATCAAAATGTTAAACAGATGTTCCTAGATATGAAAATTTAATAGTAACTGCTCATTACTGTTCTCATTTTTGACTTCTTGTATTCAAGATGACATTCTGGGAATTAGTCAGTTGAATGTTTTTATGTTGTCCTGCTCTACAGGAAATCAGAAGTGCTAAACTAGGTCCAATCCATATTTCTGTAGAATTTCCATTGCATTTTAGCAGTAACTAACTTTATCTGCTTTAGCACAGGTGCAGCAGAAGTCAGTATCATACAATAAAGGCCCTCAGTCTTTTTGCTGATATGTTTAATTCCACTGCAGAAGCTGCTTCATCTCCAGAACTTTAACACGCTGATGGCAGTTGTGGGAGGCCTAAGCCACAGCTCTATTTCTCGTCTCAAAGAAACTCACTCTCATCTATCTTCTGAGGTTACAAAGGTACAAGAGGGTCTCTAATATGAAGGGATCCAAAATATAAATGTCGGACTTTTCTGTGTAATATCTGTAGTGTATAATGGGTATTACAAGACAGATATATCAGCAGCAGAACACTTGAACCATTGTACTGGGGCAGCCTAAAAGGCAAACTAGTCAGATTGCTCTTAATAGAAAACTATTAGATTGTGGGGAACTTCTTTTTGGGTGACTGTGGTGGGGATAAAATGGACATATTCAGCATCCTGATGTGACTTACTAGTCATGTGACTTGCTAGTTAGAATAGATCAAACAAATGTTATGAATGGTCTTACAGAGTCTTGCTTCTATGGCTGTTTATAGGACTGGAATGAGATGACAGAACTGGTCTCCTCCAATGGAAACTACTGCAACTACCGCAAAGCTTTTGCTGACTCTGTTGGCTTCAAAATCCCCATATTAGGAGTTCACTTGAAAGACTTGATAGCCGTTCATGTCATCTTTCCAGACTGGATAGATGAGAACAAAGTAAACATAGTGAAAATGCAGCAGCTATCCATTACCTTGAATGAACTGGTTTCCCTGCAGACTGCTACCCATCATCTAGAGCCAAATATGGATTTAATTAACCTGCTAACAGTAAGTGTCATGAAGGTTCTGATTCACCTCTTGTCACAGCCCAGTAGGTGCACTCACGTCAATAGGACTATTCAAGAGAGTAAGAATTTGCAGGACAGCACTCTTAGTATGTTTTTTTTATAAAGGTGAAGATAAATAAGACACATATACAAAATAGAAACCAGTCTAGGTAAAACATGTATAAGGTCACAGAAGACTTTGACAAGATACAGTCTTGGCTAGTTGGAGCTAGAAGCTGGGACAACTGAATTGATAGACTTCCTACTCTGTAGATGAGATGTACATCTCCGTGCTGTGAGATGTCAAAAAGAGGTTCTGACCATTTACAGTTGTTAAACGTACATTGGCATTTTTCACCGTGTCCAAACCAGAGCTGTAAAACAAACAAACAAAACCCTGTATGACTATGCAGACAGTCCACAGGGATTCCACTCTAATTTCTGTGTTAAAATATACCTTTTTAATTTAATCTTCATTTGTTTTATGGGGGAGGGGGATTTTCTTGTTCCTTTATACACACACAAATCTGCTCTACATTTTCAAGTCTGCATATTCTTTCAAACTTAAATACGAGGAAGTGGGACTTTAGACAGAGAGACCAAAGCAATAGGAAGCTGAGCCTGAAGGGCAAGAGCAAGATACTGTGAAGTGGTACCTGAAGTACCATTTACCTGTTGACGTTTTCATGAACTACTGTTGTGTATGTTCATAGAGGGCCTGATCCTGATTTTACTGGGATCTGAGGGGCCTTAACACCTCTCAGGACTTTGCAGGATCAGGCCCATAGTTTTGTGCACTTGTATTCCTATGATTCCTTTGCCTCCAATACATTTTTTATCTTTTCCCTCATTTGTTAGTCACCTGCAAAAAGTTGGATCCCGTTTTACTTTTACTTTTTTTTTAAACCGTCCACTGGGAGACATAACTGAGTAAGAGATGGGTGCTTGCCTCTTTATGATATTGGGTCAGATTTGTCTCTATCATAACTCCACTGGCTTCAGTTACACCAGGGTTAAAGTTGGCCCATGATGTTGACTTTGTAATTGAGTGGCATTGCATACTGCAATGTTAGAGCCCTAAACTCTGGTCATGGGTTAACATTTATTTGTAGCTTCACCTGCTTTTCGTTTAGTGAGTGTACAGCTTTAACATGGTGGTGTCACATCAGCTTTTAAAACTTCAGTAGACTAGATAGCTCAATGTATCCTAAAACTCCTTGGGCAAAATCCTGGCCCCATTGTAACCTTTGGGAGTTTTGCCATTGGCTTCAGTGAAGTCAGGGGTTGTAACCCCTTCTTGGAGTCATACTATGAATTTTTTTTCAACATCTAGATACTATTCAGATTGGTACCATATAAATAACTAAGATAATCTGATAACATTTTCACAAAGGAATCTATTATTCTATCCTAATAGAAAAGTATTACAATAGCTGAAATATATTGGTCAATAAGTCAATGAGAATAGTTTATCACGAGGGGAGAGAAAAGCTAAGATTTGCTGCCGGGGGGTGGGGGACAGTCAGGGGACAGGGAACAGGGGAGTTGGATGGGGCAAGAGTCCTGGGGGGGCCATAAGGGCAAGAAGCAGTGGGATAGGGAGTGGGGGCTGGGCCACACCTGGCGGTTCAGGGAGGCACAGCCTCCCCTAACTGGCCCTCCATACAATTTTGGAAACCCGATGTGGCCCTCAGGCCAAAAAGTTTGCCCGCCCCTGATCTAACCCAATGTATCTAAAACTATTTAGAATACCCATTTGAGTTCTAGTGCTCTCACTGATGCCAGTAGTAATTGCTGAGTGTTCTGTACTTTAAACGTCAGGCCACTTATTTTAGGTGCTTAAAATATGAATTTAGGAGCCCACTTATTAAAATCTTGGCTCTTATGCGTTTCAGTATAAAAACAAACATACTGTGAGCTAGAAAGTCAGTTGCTTGTACAAGGTGAAAACAAATAAAGAGCTGTGTGGTAACTAAAATGTCACAAAGTGAGTATTGCTATACTGGTGCATGTCACATTTTCCCCCATATTAATGTGGTATAGGAGACTGTGACAAAATGAGAAACGGCTTGAAGCACAGGAGGCTAAATTCAGAGGTGATGTGTAAATTAGATTTATTTATACACCCTTATTAACGTGCAAGGAAATCAACCCTGGCGTGACTTAAAAGCTGAGGAGAGAACAAGGTGTAAATTAAAAGAGGGGGTAGCTTAATCTCACTTCAGAGTCTTACACTGTTGGTCTGTGCCATGCTCCCTTCCCCTCTGACTCTCGACATTTGAGCTACACCAGTTTAGGGTATGTATACAGTGCCCTGCAGTTTGGATTATTTGGGGTGAATAGCAATGTGCACCAAAGTGCTGCACTGAACATTCCAGACAAACTTAAAGGTCCCCAGTTCTCACTAACGTAATTTTCTTCAAACAGGACTCCATTAGTACAAACTAAGGACTTTTAAGTTTGCGCCCTCAGAGTCCACACAGGGCAATTACAGCATGGAACTTTGGTTCACATTGATATCCACACATCCCCTTAATCCGAACTGCAGGGCAGTGCAGACATGCCCTTAGTCTCCCGTTGACTGAGTGGGCCAAATTCATAGGTGATTTGTATAAAGTTTCTTTAAAACTGATGCAGGTAGCCAGGCAGCAGCAGAACTGGGAAAGGTTCTAGGAAAAGCTCTACAGAAAGGAAGAGTAGCTCTAAGAATAATAGTGTTCTTCCCCCGCCATTCCCCTCCTCCCCCTAAGAGTATTACTGGAAAAAGATAATTTTGAAAGGAGGCTGGGAAGGCTTAATTTAATGCTGGGATAGTAATACCTGCTGCACAATCTCTCCAATATTGATGTGACTTCACATTCCCTTTACTCTTATAACATGGATTAACGTCTGACTGTAGGCAACTGTTGAATTCCTTAAAAGGACTGACGATAATGCATCAGTACTTTGCTAATCTACCACATATTTAATACAACAGCATATTAACCACATTTGATGCCAGAGTTTTTTGTTTTCTCTCTATTTTTAGCTTTAACAGTTACTTAACTAACCTGTTCTGAGACTATGCAAATAACTGGAAAGTCCCTATCATTTTTAGTCTAGCGAAGCAAAGTGACAAATACCTAAAAATCTAATGGAAAGTCAGTCACCCTCACAAACTCTCGCTCGGTGAAGTTTCTTTTACAAAACAGAAAATTTATAACTCTTTATTTATCAAAATGATTTATAAATAAATCAAGAATGATAATTAAAATTAAGAGCTACTTTCCATTATAAAGGGAGTTGTAGGGTATTTTCCCCCCCAGCAGTTTTGCTTATCTTTCACTGAAACGCTGTATAACTAATCAGTAACTGTGTGATGTATTGAGAAATACATAGTAATTGTATATCCTTAAATGATTTACTAGTATTTGAATGTATTGAGTAACTAATCCCAACCTCTAAAATCTTTTATGACTAGACAATATTTAGTCCTACATTGTACTTGCATGTTAAGTTTATTAATCTAAACAAATCTGCTCATTAAAGGCCAAATCTCTATTGGTGTAAATGGGTACAATTAAATATTAATTATAAAAATTGCAACCTGCAATGTTGGTACACTTTCCCTCCCCAAACATACACCCTCCCTTATTACCCTATCTCCAAATGGCAAAACTTCTCTTGGCTTCAAAGGGAGCAGGACAAGGTCCTTACATTTCAAACTACTAACTTTCATTCGCAACCTGATCTACTAAATATCATTGGCTTTAATGAAGTTTTGCCTGTTTATATGAGCAGAGAATTTGGATGTACATGTACTTGGGTAAATAACTACATGAACAAAACGTATTACAACAGTTCTATAAAAGAGTTCTGTGTAGCTCGAAACCTTGTCTCTCTCACCAGCAGAAATTGGTCCAATAAAAGATGTTACCACACCCACCTTATCTCTTTAACGGTTACATCATAGTACATTTATTGTCTCTGGGGCAAATGCTGCACCCCCACTCACCCACCAATATGGGCATGCAAGACTCAGAAGGCAATGCACCAGTAAAATTAATGAAGCTGAATGAGTGGAAGACTCTTCAACTGGAGTGTGTGATCCTACTAAATGTTACGTGTATGAAATTAATCCAAATATCTCTAATGTGCCCTATTTATTCTCAAATGTGAACAATGGGTAAAAATTTTCACTAGAGCCTAAGTCCCATTTTCATTGTGACTGAGGCTCCTAAGTGACTTAGGCCTTCTGAAAATTTTATCCAGTATCTGTTGTTATTAATGTGTCCGCTGAAGTTCTCCCAAAATGAAGTTGAGCTCTGGGTGACGATTTTGAAATTTAGCTATCACTTGTTTAAACGTATGAAGCCACTTGCACCAGTCTTTTTCAGAATAATTTTTCCTCATAAATCTTGAGTCAAAGAGAATTCTGTAAACAGCACCTCTTCAAATCTTTGAACAAAACAATCCTGATTTTGCAAGGTAGATGATAACATCAAATCATATCAGAATTACTCCAGAATCTACTAATATGATCATAGGAAACATGTAATGTAATGTTGTCTCCTGCCTCTTGCATACTCCAAGCCATTAGTGTTGATGATTTCTTTCCTTTATAGTTTAGAGTGGGTAAGACATTGTGTACGACATTGTTAGAGCTGAGTGAAAGCTGCTAAAGTAATTCACAAACATTTGTTTCCATTTTTAGCAATTTTTTTTTACTGTATTTGTGCCCTTTTTCTCATTTGCACAGCAAATCCACTAGCCTGGAGGACTATTGGGTTGACTACGTCCATCCAGGAGGGTCTGGGAATGGAGCTGAGGGAGAAGGCGCTCATTCAGATACATGAAGATCTAAGGCCACATAAGCAGGGAGTGCCTGTGGTATTCATAGTTAGCAGAGTAGGAACTGGAGACATGAGTTGAAGTGACTGGATTGGTTGGGAATGAAATACTGTATTTGAGGACTCTGCTGGTCCACAGAAGGAAGGAGCTTCTCCTTTGGCTTGCATCTGGTTGTGTACCTCATGAGATAGGGTCTATGCTGGTGATTCAAGTGTCCTCAGTCTCCAGGGTTTATCTTGAGTTATTGAGCACTGGGACTTCCTCCTTTGTTACAACTTGGCATTATCTCTGCAGAGCAGCAGCAATAGTGCACCTGCTTCTGATGCAAGGGACCATCCCAGATCATTGCTGCTCACAAGCAGTGGATGGGGTATAGTGCCCTGCTCTTGGCGGTAACCATCACTGGATTGGAGCAGTTAGCAGCATTGATCCTATTAAACTTCTGCTCTGCTGAGTCCTGTGGGTTTGGGCCTGCCAGGAAGGAAAAGGAAGAAAAGATAGCGGAAGCAGGAACACAGAAGGGAAAGATTGCTACTGCCTCTCTGCCACCCCACCCCACCCCAAAAAAAGTCCTAGGACTTCCCAGCAGAGAGCGTAATGTGATCTGCTTGTATTAGGTGCAGAAGAATGGAGTTTGTGATGCAGTTAACAGACTTTATATGGGGGTGGGGGAGTAAGATGGCACCAAAGCTCTTCACAAGTGAGCGAGCTGCCTCTGTGGGCCTGGATGGGCTCAGTCAACACATTCATCCTCCAGAGTAGCAGATTTCCTCTTATAAGAAGTCTAATTTATGGTAAGACAAAACTGACAGGTTTGACTATTGATGTCTGTCCTTGAAAACAAGTTTTCTGGCAGAAGTTTTTTGTCGTGACGCTATAGAATGTGGGCAGACGGTGAATTTTGAATTTGTAATGACAGGTATTTGCACCAGTAGCGTGAGGCTGAGTTTTATGTTCATCCAGTCAGGGAATAGAAATGGACCATGAGACTTACATATCCAATCAAAGCAGCTTGAGTTTTGAACTGCCTGTATCCAGTGCTCACTGCAAATAGGTTCAGGAGATTCGTGGGCTGAAATATGTTAAATAAAAGATTTGTAAAATAACATTGAACCAAAACCACTCTGTGATATGTTTGCAAGCAATTTGTGAGGTAAAAATATCCAAGGTGAACAAAAAGGTTTGTTTCAAATAGTTTGCCAAGTTCTAATCAGCACGGTTTAAAATGTTACCTCTGTTTATGTTCAAATACATGCCCAAGATGTTTGTTTCCTTCTTGCATCTCTCATATACACTGGATTCTTTTTCCAGGATTGTTGATTGCTGAGCTGCTGACAATGAAGTGTTTGTGGCAGGGTAATTCTTTGCACATGTTTTCATCCTTTGACAATGGTCAAAATGTAGGCCTGCCACATTTTGTAACGTGTTGTAACATACTGCAGCTGGGGACTGTACTAGTTCATATCCTCTGCTAACTAGTACAGAGGGCGACTTGTAACACATTAGCTAGTGAGTTACAATATCTCCATCAAAAATAGTATTATTGCATATCAGTGCACCTCCACACAAAGCCTCCCTACATACGCTGAGTGCCAAATGGCAAAACTCCCATTGACTTCTGTAGGAGCAAAAGGAGTCCCTTATTTTAATCTACTAAGTTTGCTGTCATTTCCAACCTGATCGAATAAATACCACTGTTTTCCTTCCTGCTTATTTACAGCTTTCCCTGGACCTTTACCACACAGAAGATGATATTTACAAGCTCTCATTGGTGCTAGAACCAAGGAATTCTAAATCAGTAAGTAACTTTTATTGAATTTTGAAGGGGATACAGTTGCATATCAATTTTAGAATATTTACAATAGCAGTAATGAGATTATACCAGGGGTCAGCAACCCACAGCACGCGTGCCAAACATGGCACGCGAGCAGATTTTGAGTGGCACGCTGCCTGCCCGGTGAGAGGAGGCGGAGGGGCCGGAAAGCGCCACGCTGGGGGAAGAAGCGGGGGAGGAGGGAAGCTTGGCTGCCGCAGGACCAAGCTTCTGCTTCCTGCCCCGGCAGGGGAGAGCGGTGGGGGGAGGGTCCCGGCCCCCCACCCACTCAGTCCCCCCCACACACACCTCTCTCCCCTGTGGGGGCAGGAGGCAAAAGCTTGGTCCTGCAGCAGCCAAGCTTCCCCCCTCCCCCGCTTCTTCGCACAGCGTGGTGCATTCCGGCCCCTCCCCTTCCCTGCTGGCGATGGCCCTTGCAAGCGGGAGGGGGAGGGGGAGCGGAGCAGAGCCGAGCGGCAGCGTGCTCGCTGCTCCGTAGAGCAGGCAGAGAGAGGTAGGGATGGGCCTGGGGAAAGGGGGTGGAACAGGGCATATCCCTCCCAGCTCCCTGCCATGAGCCGCTCAGGGCAGGGGGCTGGGAGCACTCCCACACACACCCCAGCCCTCTGCCCTGACCTCCCCCCAACACCCAGCCTTCTGCCCTGCACCCCCAC